TGACCCAATCCTTCCAAATCTAAACATCCTATGTGTACCAGCAAACTATGTAGAACCATATATTCGTTCTCCTAAACCCTGTGCCGGAGGTAACTCTGTTCATTGTATAAACTTGAGATGGGGCGATTGCTGCAGATAGCGAGATGACTCGCCCATTGTGACGAGGTATCAAGTCACAGCTTTCAAAGTTTCGACACATCTGAATGATGAGTAATGTGGGAACTCTTAAACACAGTTTATATTCCTCGGTAGCTCCAGATCAAGAGCCCCATCAGTTTGGTCTTCCAAGTTCGGTGTGTGCATCTCCTTTAAGTCGTCGTGATCTCTTTTCAGGTGTCGAGGAGATTCTAGAAAGCTTTCCAATGAAAGAAATTCTGCTCTGGGTTTTTTCTTTCCTTCTTTGGTGGCGATTCTGTGCATGCTGTTGCCGCTGAACCATACCGAAGTATGAGATGCAAATCACTGGTGCTTATGAAAACCTGTAGCTGAAAATCAGTCTCAGTGTTCGGTGCCTTCTTCTACTTGCTGGAATGCAGCATTACCCTTGGCATTTATATCCAATTTCTACATCTCCGATCTCAACAGAGCCACCATGAATAAATCCTCCTGAATAAACCATTCTTATGCAGCCTTCACTTTAATTGTTAGCAGTGGAAGCAGGTGGAAGAAGACATTTATGGTTTTGCAATTGTTACTGATGTAATTGAGGAAAACATGTCATGTAAAAGGTAAATAAAAGCACTGGCAATAACATTTAGTGTTGAAAAGTGTGTTGTGTGCAGGTTCAAACATGTCAAAAAAATCTTCCATTGTCTGAAGTAAAAAAGTTGCTAGTATTGCACTAAATTGTGGCATACCCAAGTTATGTTCTCATTTAACTCCCAAAGTCGTAGTATTTACGAAAGGTTGGTTGGGTCATTTCGTTCATACATGGGAAGGGCGTAGATTTGGATTTCTATGTGAATCACATAATACAATGCATTTCATATGTGAGAAATTAGAGAAAGATGGTGAGGTCACAAATTTTGTGGAAGGAGTTGCAAAGGAACATTTCTATACTCGACAACCGACCACAACTCAATGCATTTCATTAGCTGTTCTCGCACACGTCGAATTTAGATCATCATCACAACCTGTTAACTTTCTATCTATGCAAGACGAATCAATGAATTTTATCAAAGTCAAAAGCCGCTGCTCGAAGAATGCTTGGACACATCGCCGTAAGTGGTTGTGATCAGCAAAGCTGATGGGGAGCTCTGAGCATTCCCTGCATAACTACAGACTCTCGAACTACTTTCAAGAACTTAATGCTCTAGGAGGAATACCCAAGTTCGCCAATGCAACCTTAATTTTCAGTCAGCTTCTCCTAGTTGTTATGTCGGCAGTAGTTGTTTTTCCTGATAGTTGTTTGAGGATATGACGACTGATTCCGATGATGTAAGATATTTTCCTCTACAAAGGCTGCGACAACACTGATGCAGGATGCGGGTTCACAGGGATCCGTCGGAGCATGCCACCCAGGGTGATCAGCACAGAGTAGTCAACCCTGCGTTCTCTTCTGATGGTCCTCCGGATATTTGAAAGCTAACTCTGATTCCGACAGATATACTCCTCAGCAAAGACTTCAAAGAATTGATCGTAATATATCCTCCATAATGCGTACAGGGAAATGTGCGCTGCTCGGTTGCCCCTCCTCTCCATTACCCTTGCTATCTGACCCTCCGGTCCATGGCCAATGTGCACGTCCTTTTCCAAAATCCTCTGTCAATGACGTCAAGGTGATCAGACCAGCATGGCTCCTGAGAAGTATGCTACTGCACTCGTTGACAGATGACAAATCGTCAAACGGAGGTAACCAGAGTTCGCTGACACCACAACCAACAAATGTTCCACAATGCTTCCCAGATCTTCTCTTGATAATACCCTAGCTGAAGTTTGGCGAAAATTCAAAACGTTGGCGTGAAAACGAGGCTAGGGAAAACAATGCGATGCAAAACCAGTCGAAAATCTCACAATCTTGTACTTGAATTCCCCCCTACAGGTTTGCTTGCTGCATAAGCTTAACACAAGATTCTTATTCAATCTTGCAATTATGTCGTCGTCAGGCCGTTGAGGTTGATTCTACGCCAAGGAGCACATAAACCAAATCAAACAACCGAAAAGAGGATCTTCATAACAGCGAGGTTTCTTGCAATTAAAGCCTTCAGAAGATGAAGGTTAAAATGAGTGTCCATGCGCATTTGGGACAACTGTTGAAAGAGACCACGCAGCATTATTCCAACGCAATGAAATGTTGGTTCATAACACAAACACAGTAGCTATCCTTTTCAAAAATATGTTGAATCATGCCCTGCTTGAACACGAAGATTGCCAGCACGACTCGTCACATCTGACGAGCATTTGAACTAAAGCATTCAGACAGATGCTCTGTAAAATTAGAGTTCAGGGAACGCATTCTGAAATAGGGCCGGATCATACCTGATGCAGAGGCGATCGAGACAGTCTCGAGAATTCGACGAAATCCAAAGCACTGAAGGTTCGAATCATATCATGAAGAGGAAGTGAAGCGGGTCAAGTGCAATGCACTGACAACTCCGAAGCTAGTCTTCCACGCAACTAACAAACAAACATTATCACTTTTAAATTATACGTGTTATATATTTTAATTAAGCATCGGTGCTATTTTATTACTATATTATTTTTCCAAATAAAAACATGTCATATTCAAAATTATGGATGTTATATTCAAAATTTCAAAGTTTCAAATTGCTATATTAAGTAATACATAGGTACATTTTTGTGTTGAGAATGAGATTTCATATGTCAATAAAAATGTTAGTAGATATAAACTAGAATTGAGAATTAAAACAATGGTTTATCATACTGAAAAAATTACAAGATGCTGAAGTATTTATGATAAGATGTAAAATCTTTTACAATTTACAAGATGTTAAGAACATCAAAGGTGATTGTAGAATTGCTTCTTTTTATATTTATTGATAATGAGATTACATATTTGTTATTCTACTGTTCAAAGGTTTAGAATAAATTTTTTAATTAAAAAAAAAAGACATGCACATATATATCTAACATTCAACATTAAAAATTCAGGAGTCTTAGGATTTTTTTTTTTTTTTTTTTTTTTAAAGAAGAATCAAATATATTTTCAAATTACAAAATAAATCCTAATAAGACAAGGAATCAAATTAATAACCAATAGATGAAATAGTAACTTATATATATATATATATATATATATATATATATATAACTTGAGTTATTATATTTCATTTAATAAATATTTTATTTAAATCTTAGATCCAACTTGATTTTAGAGTCTCTAAAATAAAAAGTAATATCTTAACTTGGAACATAACTATTAATTATATATTTCAGTTTTATATAGCTAGCTATACAAATATCTTTAGATGAAATTTTAGAATCTTTTCTAAATACATTATCAATCTCAATCAAAAAGATAAATGTTTTTTTTAATTGAAATTTTAAATCAAAGAAATTAAACAATTATTTTATTTTCTACAATTGTATATGATTTTTATATCATTGATTATGTTGCTCTTTTGATAATGTTCACCATAATTATAATATATTCAAACATATAATATAAGATATAATGGTTGAGTTTGATACACATTTTAAATGTTATCATGGCTATACTAATATACCAAATATTGTAACTTTTCTCATTCTATCCTTAATTTATATTTAGTATAATATAATATAATATAATACAATATTAATTGATTTTAACAAAAGGATAATGATTGTTTCTTACACATGAGTTTTCTGTAAGAAATCTAAAAAGAAAATATCTTCATAATAATTTGTGACTTGTCATGATAGAATAGCAAAGAAATTTAAATATTAAGGGTCTTTTTCATTCCAAATTTGATTGTTTTTAATGATTCATTTTTATATAATCAAAATATAAGAAATCAATTCTACTTTTGAGTGCCTAGGATACTTAATAACACATCTTGGTCATGAATATTAACTACTAGTACGATTTTAATGCCCATGCAAACTATTTACAAATTATCAATATATATATATATATATATATATATATGTGTGTGTGTGTGTGTGTGTAAATAATACCAACTAAATGACAATGTTTGAAAAGACAACCACACAACATTTAACTTTCACATCTTAGTTACATCAACAGAGACATTATATGTATATATATACACACTCATACGTGTATCATAGAGAAACCTGGTTCATCTTTAGTACGTAAATTAGTATTCTCAGGCCTGCACAAGCACAGCACCTATCAAAAAAGATACTCACCCAATGGAAAGGTGACTCGTCCAGCTAGACGACAGAGTCGGTTGAGAGTGTGAACAGATCATTGGCGCACGAGACGTCGACACACTCGTTGACGGTCAACGATGTCACCAGACGGGAGCGACAAAGTTGCCACGTCAGCGCCAAGTGGCAACACCAGAGAAAGAAGAGTCGGGATCGAGACTGAGCAAAGGACATCTCGACGCAAGTTCGAATCCCGAGCGGGGCCCGCAACCTCTCCCCCTCACCAGCAGCCCAGGTGCAAGCTTGTACCAGTCTGCAACTGGATCCTGTGCTGCATCCCGCCACGTCTCACTGTCGCAGATTCAAACCCCCTTCAACGCTGGCCACAGAAAAAGTTTTTAGGCTCGGAACTGACTGTCCACTCCAATTACACAACGAAAATTTCTTCACACGCATCGATTTCGCGACGATGAAGCGGAAGAACTCGAAGAATCTGGACAAATTTTTATCCCAACTCGGTATTTTGTGTCTCAAAACTCCTTAGCTGGAATCGTAAGTGTGAACTGATAGTGTGTCGATCCACAGATGGCTTGAGATGAGTTTTACAAGTGTCCAGGCCACCTGTGAAATATTGCGAGTTTTGAGGTCGTCCTCGATACGTGCTCCTCCCGGTACTTTCGTTAAGGATTTGTGATTTGCAGTTTTAGTTTGTTTTTTATACTCTGCTTTTTTTTACCGGATTGCGTGAGAAGTGGTTCCCGGCCAAAGGAGGCGTGCATCGAAAACCGCGTCGTCATGATGTGGATCGTAGGGAAAGAAGTGAATGGATTATCTGTTATTAAGAATGTGTTTTATGTGATGATGTGGCGTCTTCTCCGTGCCGGACCGGTGGTAACACCATCTCGCAGCGATTTCATGTTTGTCGTGAATGCTGTAGAATCGATTTCTTCGGGTTATTGTAGGTACGTTGAAGAAGCGCAATTGTCGATCTGCGTAGGAACAGCTCAAGCACCGACACCTACATTGCCGGTGCAGGCTGCTGCGTGGAAGAATCAGTCACATCGGTGTCATTACCAGATGGAAGCTTCTCCTTTACTGTGCTTTCGTTGTAAAACTCTTTCATGAGACGAGAATGGCAAGGAAAGGGCCGGCAACTTCCATAGCCACAAGTTGTGATCGATCCGAATATTCGTTGTGATTGAAGCACTTCTCAAAGGGGAGGAAGAGTTCTGTTCATGGGGCTTTGTTGGAAGGACAGGGTGTCCACCAATGCCACGAGGGGTTGCTATGTTGCTAGCAGAGCAATGATTGTTCGATGACGCCGCCTGAGTGTAGAAGTCTGCGTGTAACAAGTCTCTCGCTTTGACACCTTCCACTCGCACATGCCGCAAAATTCGTGCTCAACTCAGGGGCGGGACAGCGAAGCGAGGATCCAAAATTTAGCGCATTGTATACAGGGGCGCGAGCTGCTCAGTAGGAGACAGTTCCTCTCTCGGTGACGCTTGGACAGCAAAAAGTGACGAATGTAATGTTCGTTGGAGTTATTCAGAATTTTTGATCGGGATCTTTTTAATGTTTCAGCTGGTTCTCATCGACCGTAGGCCTGGTTTGAGCTTGTGGCCTTTGTGCACGCAGGGTTCTTAGTTTTCAATGTATGCTTCAGTCTAGTTTCTTCAGGCATTCGAGGAGACCGTGCATCAATCCCAATCGATCGGATCTGGGTGGAATCTACACCTCTGATATCGTTGAGGTTTTCTCTGCCTAGATGCGGGTTCATGAATTGTGTCCTCTTTGTGGCTAATGTGCATAGAAGGGATATGACTATTCGCGGTAGGACACTCTGTTCCATGCGAAGATTAGATGAGGCAACTAGTCAATTGCTGTGCGAGGAGAACAATTGTCCATATTTTTTGGAGTGAAGTCGGTCTTCCATTGTGACTCAGAAATAGATCGGCCTGGAGTAGAGCCTCGTGGAATCCAGAGTGATGACCATTACCAGCTGCAGCGATTAGCGACTGGGACTTCAGCTATTCAGTTCGTTTTGTAACGTGACCTCGACTTGTCTAGCAAACGCTGTGCCGAACAGACAGTATCATGAAAATGGATAAGAATCACACCGTGGTTAAGGTAGAGAAGGAAACGGAGAAAGTGAATGCAAAGGTCTGGTCGAGGGAGCTGGGATGCCACACAGCTATCAAGTTTCAAATGAGGACGTTTCCAGATGTTCGAGTGAATGTCGTCTATACCATGATTTTTCTAATCGGCCTCATCCTCACTGCAGCGCAGCTGTGGCCTCTCACCGACTTTGATCCCAAGCACTCGTGCACACAACCGGCAAATCAAGAGAATTGGGAGAGGCTAGATAAGTCTGAACCCCAACAACCTCAGATTTTCTCAGAATCGTTTCTCCATGAGAAGGTTGACGCGTCTTCCATTGATACAAGCCACGGGGAGCTTAGGGTCTTCAAGCCGCACGGGTTAGCAACGCACTTGTACATCGAAATGAGTGCCTATCGTGGAGGCCCGCGTCAGTTTTCCGTAGTTGGCCTCACCTCAAAACCGATAGAGTCGCATCACCAGCCACCCTATGCTTGCGAGTGGGTGTCAAATGCAACAGGAGAGGTGGTCAAGGGCCGCCCTCACAAGGTTTTGCCCGATTGGGACTACGGGAAGCTGTACACAGTTGTGGTGATCACGTGCAATTTTGCCAAGGATGTAGGGGTAGATGGTGAGGGAGGTGAGCTGATCCTGTATGCCAGTTATGGCGACCAGTACAGGCAGCCGGAACGAATTGTTGTTCTCACAGAATCGAAAGGGACGTACAACTCGAGCATATTCGATCCAAAGAATTTCCCTTATGATTATGTTTATTGTGGATCGTCAGTGTACGGTGACATTAGCCCTCAACGGATGAGGGAATGGATGGCTTATCATGCGAAGCTCTTCGGGGATGGATCACACTTTATCCTGCACGATTCAGGCGGCTTCCATGATGATGTGCGCAAGGTGATCGAGCCTTGGATCAAGCAAGGGAGGGTGACATTGCAGAACATCAGGCAGCAGGAAATTTTCGACGGTTACTACCACAATCAATTCTTGATTGTGAATGACTGCCTCTTTCGGTCTCGATTTTTAGCAAACTGGACATTCTTCTTCGATATCGATGAGTTCATATTCGTCGAGCCAACTACAACTTTGTCAGCGGTACTGAACGAGAACCCAAATATTACGCAGATTACAATCGAGCAAACTCCAATGGCGAAGGATCTCTGTGTTGCTGATAACACCACTTCAGGCGAACACGAAAGGTATGCAGCATTGCTATTTCTTCAATCCTTCAACTTTTCAAGGAACTCAGTTGTGGAATATTGCTCAGATAGCTAGCTCATGTTGCGCGTATGTTTATGCACTCATTTTGTCAGTGATGTGTTAACGTTTTCGTAATCAAGCCTGACGGTTGAACGTTGACTTTATGAGTGCAGTCGATGGGGCTTCGAGAAACTAATCTACCGGAAGGTTTTGAAACGAGGGATACGTTACGATCGCAAATTCGTTGTCCAAGCGCGGCACGCCGAGGCAACCGGAATTCATATGTCCATGGACACGCGTCACGGGCAGAATCTCTACCCGAAAGGTGACAAGATTCGCTACTACCATTACCACGGCACCATTAACAAGAGGCAGGAAGTATGCACCAGATTTGTCGACGCGGGGAACAAAACAGCTGTGCAGAGGCACGAGAAGCACTACCACAGGCTCGATGAGTCCATGGCGAAACTGGCGAAAGATGTGAAGTTATTCGAGCTGAACACGGTAGGGGCCCAACCATTCATCGTTTGATCTCGGGGAGCCATGGAGGCCACGAATCACCTCCATCTTATCATCAGCGACCACCGAAATTCGCCAGAATATCCGTTCCAGAAGTGAATCCCTACGCTTCGTCGCACTGTCGATAGTACTGCTACATAAAACTTTGCGCAAGGCACACGAAATGGGCTCAGACCGCAATGCTACGAATTAGGGTTTCAGCTGAATGGAGCGCATGTTCAAGCAAAGAGACATCAAACGACAAATCTCGATAAATTTTGTGCAGGTCTTCACACCATTGGCTGCGTTGTGTTAGGAAAATGTAAAGTCTAACGCCCTCTGACAAGTAGTGTTCTAATTTGCAGGTATAAAATTGACCGTTTACTGTACATTACACAATAATTTATGATGAGCATTCTGCGCTCCTACTCATTCCTCACAAAGAAAAAAATTCTATGTATGCTGAGCAAATATTTTGAAAAACATCTTCTTAAATATTTTGAAACGATAGAATTATAACATAATTATTATGTATTAATATTATGTTTGAACATATAGGTAAATAGATATTAATTGAATTGTAACACAATGCACCTATTAATTTATATGCAAATAGTAACCAACGCTTTGCTTGAAATCCACATAAAATATAAATATGTAGAAGATGATCAGAACTAGTTAAGCTTCTGTGAAGATTTTTTAAGTTTTAGAATTTCTGTTTTTTGGCTTAATTCCATTAAAAGTCTTCTTGGCCAAAAGTTAACCTCGTTTGATCCTCTATAAAAATAAATAAATAAATAAATAAAATTGAGAACCACATCTTGTTCACCCTTTTTTTCTTATTCTTTACAGGGAAAGAGACTAAAAATGAAGTTATGGATATTTGAGACTACGTTGGCATTGAAGGTAATTGAAAGTGAAAAAGCTGTAACAGAGGGCCTTCCAAACTGGTTGTTGATGGCACTTCTTCCAAACTCGTTCGCTTTCGGTAAGAATTCAGCTTCTGCAACGCATGGATGTTGAAGATACTTGGTATCGACAAAAGTAACATCGAATTGCAGACTGATTCTATTAAGTCTCAGTTCGCGTACGCACACTACCCAGCACTGGAACTTGATGGCAGATCTGTGAAACGCTGTATTTGTTAAAAAGTGAAGAAATACACTGAGAAGCACACCAGCAAGCTTGCTTTGTGGGTAGAGACGCAGAGAAAAGTCTGGATCCAATGTGAAGTTTCTGATGCAGCACCACTGTATGCTGTCACACACTAACGATGAGAAGAAGGCCAACTTAACTACCCAAGTAAGGATACTCAAGCAGATTCCGTTACATACTGACACGCAATTAATGCCATAACTTCAGGTGATTTCCGCCATCTGAGCTGGCGAGAGCTTATTAGTAGACACCAGCACACGACCAACTTCACGTGATTTGGTAAGAATGGTCAACATATCCAGCTATTGCCCACATGGATTTCTATAATTTAAAGACAACACGACGACCTGTTACTCAGAAGTCCTAATCTTGGATGGTTAGTCAACTGCGACATGGTCCAACTGGTATCGCAACACAAGTCGGCACATGAATCCGAATAGGACAATCAGAGGTTGATAACCGAAATTCTTTGCATGCGCAGATTCGTCGCCTCTAAGGGTCCTAACGTCCGTTTCGACAATCAATTTTGCACTGTTCATCGAGAACCGAGAGCATGGACCCGAGTCCAAGTGCAACTTGGAGCACGTGGACACGAGCTTAAGACCAATCTATGAAATCGACTTGATTGAGCTCATGCTCAATTCAATAGCCTGAATAAACACGGGATACTGCTGCACCAGCAGAAAGACTTTCAACCACGCATTCACCAACATGTGATAATGGAAAATGTCTTTTCTTAGAAATGAAAACCACGACCAATTTTCCTCGTTGGTGAAATACCAACCACCAAGTGATGCGTGACGGAGGGTTGTGATTGACGTACATTGCGGAACTAGCCCTTTTCGCGAAGCATTGAGCAAAATTTCCTATCCTTCAACGCCGTTTCCAATTTCATACGACTTCGTTCAGGGTGTACTTGAAACTGAACAGGAGGGGTCTTGATCACAACTAGTGGCTGGTTGAAGGATGTGAGTTTTACCATCCTCTGTTCGGCGGTTCCTGAGCACCAGTCCAACACAGTAATATCTTGCTTTTACTGTTACGTTCAGAAAATCCTTTTCTTGTCATTTGAGCACTTAATCGTGCTTCATCTAGCCAAACCTCATAAACATACGCATGAATAGCTTCCATGGCCACCAGTGGGACGCGATACAGTGAATTAAATAAGAAGTTCTAATCTGCTGCATTTTAAATATGATTCTAGCATCATGTCCCCACAAGCGATCTCTTTCAATAAAGCTTTCTCCATCAAAGAAATTGGGGAGATAATCAATTCAGGAGTCTCTAGGGAGGTTAACCGCATCTCTGAGACTGTACTGCTCCTGTTGTGTACCTGTGATGATCCTGCTACGAATGTTAATATAGGTGGATACACAAGCTGAAGTGGAATCATGCTCCAAAGTTTCGATGTGCTCCATACCAATGAGAAACTGCGACTGTTGAAGCCTGACATAAGCACCATCAATAGGGAACGAGATTATCTTGCAATGGTATATAAGAAAGCTCTCCTATGGTAAGAAAATTGGGGCAAATATACCTTGAGATTATAAGCGGCTGCAACAATACAATACCAGTTCACTGGATTTTTTTGGTCGGGCAGAGAAGTATGGTTACACACAAAGTACTCTGCATCATCAAGGGAACAATGAAGATGATGGTTCTCTTGTGTGATCAGAAGGAGTCTTTGGAGTTCGTTTGAAGACGAGCACATAACCCTGAAGTTCACGATCGACGGGAAAATGTGAATGGAAAATTCTGTTGTCCTGCATCAAGATAGCACATACTAGCCATAAATAACAGACAGTAGTATACGTAAAACTCAATACATGGGCCACACTGTGGTCAACGCCTAACAATTCATTGGGGATACTTGGAATTAAACAAGCAGGTGAATCTTAATCCTATTATAGGAGTCTTCTCTGTATACAAATAACTCAAGACACAAATCGGGGGAAGACGAGAAATATCAAAATCGAGTCCTTTGCAATGAAGAGCCAATACGATGCAGAAATGACACTTATAACTGGAAAAGCTGCAGGAATAAATACGTGCAGCAGCACAAAAGGTGTATGATTAAACAAATCGGATTTAAACTTGTAGCAAAGGGAAGAGCTAAGCCAGAAATGTACCAGTACATAACCTTCCGCCTGAAAGAACGCGCTTATATGCTTCTCCATTGAATCAAAAAGCACAATATGACTAGGAAGAACCTCCAGATTCAAGCTACTGAACATGGAGTATAAGAAACTAAGAGGATGAGCCTTGAATTGATCTGCCTCGTCCACATAACCGGGCTTATCACTGCACAAAAGGCGTTCGTCAATCGAACAATGAAGTACATGCCTCTTAAATAAAATAAACGTGTCCAAGGATACTGAAATACAGATAAAAGGAACTTGCACAAAGCAAGGGCAAATGAAATACAAGAGGGCACTCATCAATACCAGCCAGACTAGTGCACAAGGCTAGTGTCCCAGCACCTTGGCAGAGGGAAACAATCAATGTAATGAGAAAAGATCACGACTGCTAAACAACTGATAAGATCAGGGAGGCAATCGCGTACCTAGGGGAACAGTCCAGGAAACGCATTGGAATATCCTTGTGCAGGGAAGAATAATAAGGGGTTGCATGACAAGGCATTAAAAATAACACACGTTCAGCTCGCCCTGCTTGAGCTTCGCTTGCTAAATACTTCATCACCGCTTCGCTTCCTCTCTATTCAATTATAGTTACACAAAGAAGTTAGTAAATCGCCGAGGCAAAAACATCAACTGAACAAATGATAGCATCAATTCGATCCTGGATAACAGACAGAGCAGGAAAATAATAAGATGAACACAGTAAGAAACCTGGTGAACAAGAGAAGTATAAAGAGCTGCTGGTAAATTAGTCAGAAGTAACAACATAAATACTGCCCAAACTTTCTTCTCTCCATTCCGAGTTTCAATTGAATTTCCCTTCAGACGATTTACTCCAGAGGTCATTCTAGCCCAAAATCCAGGTGCTGCATGTAAAGGTATATGTTCTATAAGAACCAAAAAGCATGCAATTGTATGTGACAACAACATTCTAAATCTAATTTACCATTCTCCATAAAGCAACCCCGAAGTAATCATCACAAAACAGCTCAAAGGAGACAAATTTCTTAAACTAACATTAGCCAGAAGTATATCAAATCATGTGTCAAGAATATTTCAAACAAAGTGAAAACCTATAAAACCCACCACGTGAACCATAAGCATGTGTAGATGAATCATTTTCCCGAGTCCACTTCTGCTCCAGTATAGCAATTGCGTATCCAGCAAACATCATCACCAGAGGTAGAATTGGCAATATGAACCTGCACATGGACAGTGTTAGCCTTTCGGACCCAACCCATCACAGTATCCATGAGTAACAAATTTGGACAAGGATCTCACAGCTGAGAGGATGATTTAAGACTGACATCAGATGGTTCTTCCAACACTGAATTCAAGAAAAGATCGCGAAGGTGGTAGACCTGAACTCTTTGTGACCCAAAGTGCTGTAGATACCCAACACCCACGCAATCAAGCCACACAACTTCCATTGCTGAGACCACCAGATCCCCGCCAAAGACAGAGGAAGAAATGTGAATGCCATGAATGGCAACCCTTGTGAAAAATACCAATGCCATGGATGAGTTCCGTAGAACGATCCTCCAGCAGACAGAAAATTGAATTTTAAAAAGTTAACTATCACAAAGGTCCACTCGCCATACATAATGCGGTCCACAACAGTCATCAATCCAAGGCAAAGCGCTCTGCAAATTCACCCACAGCTAGCTGTTATCCGTCTAGATATATATATATATATATATATATATATATATATACACACACACACACACATACATTTATGGATTGTTTTCTTCAATCCTACAACCAATAGAAATTAGTAATAATCACCTTGCATCTGAAAAGCCAACAGACTTTTTCTGTTTGCTATAATGAAATTCTCTAGTCAACATTCACTCCGAAAACTATTCTAAGAAGCCAACATACTACGAGAACGTATACGAAAAGCCTAGTGCAAGGCGACAGAGCCATAAATATGAAAATAAATTACCTCAAACCAAAAAAATTGAACATTTAAAAAACGAAGGTTAAGGCATTATATATATGAATATACTCATATCTTACCCAATTGGCAAAACTTCTTCAAATATGTACTGCCGTTTAGTAATCGTTTCTAGCAAGTGAGCTATTCCAACGTAAAGCCAGATTATTAGACTTGTAGGTCGCATTACACACGACAAACCTGCTGAGAGAATTCCCAGCTGCCGTGAAGTCAAAAAGCCTACTCGTGACCTTGTTGCAGAAGATGGCCACCAATAGTAGAGGGCTATTGTTGTCAGCACCGTCTCCATGCAGTTTGAAAATGTGCGGGGCATACAAAAGAAGTTGAACCAATTCAATAGCTGACAAAAGAGCTGGTATTTTTTATCCATGTCAAGGCAACATTCACAAGCACCAAACTTTACGATCAATCTAACTGCGCCTCTCGAACACGTAACGCAGTACCAAGAAAAGAACACAAGGCAGAATATTGCTCAAAAGTGACCAAAAGATTGCCAGCTTCTTGACTTCATGCAAATGAGAAAAGAGGATACAGCCCATTGAGCGACTCTTTCACCAAAGAGGCGATAAGAAAGTTTGTACAAGTATACATCCCCAACTCCAGCAAAGACTGATTGAAACAACCGGGGGGTTCTCGTCTGATTTAAAACAAAACAAATAAATAAATCATAAGAAGACTGAAAGAGTTAAACTACATATGAAGAAAATGTTCGTTCATTTGGAGTAACTAATCAGTGGATTAGAAAGTCACTGAGAAGGTTATAAAAGTGAAATTTTATATCAAATGAGCCACTCGACCATATCATAAGAAGTAAATAGAGAGAACCATAAACCAGGAATTGTCGAGGCGAAGCACAGCCAGTATCCTGTAAAGAACTGCAAAAATCAATGGATGAACATAACTCCGAAGTCCTAGTTGCCACTCCCACGTCAGATGTCCATACCTGATGTACAATCCACTTGCCAACGTAAGATAATGACCTGAATTGCAAGTTCAAAAAAGCCTTCACCAAAGGTTCAATGAAAGGTGAGCATGCTAAATATTGGCAAAATATACTGCAGCTAACCCCCTACGAAACTCATACATATTCCAAAAATCCAAAGCCATTTGTGGACCAGATTAACAACGGCAATCAACACAATCCTACAACATTTGATCTAATAGTGCTCCGCTTTAAATCACATGCAAGACTTTAGATCAGGAGTAAACACTAGAGCGTACCATTCGTGCCCTAGTGTTTGGTGAGGTGCTTGTTACCCTGTAGAGCACCGGACGTATGGTCTATCTAGCGGTATTACTTTAAAGGACACAGGATCACATCCTACATGTGAACTCTTGTACGCGGTAAACGTACATTGAACTATCGGGAAGGGATTTTGTCCACATCTTATCAAAGACTGGAAAGAACATTTTCAATCACATTTAAAAATAAAATGATTTATCCCATAAAATCGCGGAAACACTCACCCAAACACAGTACGATGAGCGACTTCCAGCGCCTGCCAATGCTCATCTGGATTGAAATATGTTTGAACCATAAGGGAGTTGCATATGCGCGCAGCCAAGCAAACTTTCCAAACAGACTCTTCTGTCCATGACTCATCACCAGTACGTGTAGGAGCTCGTAATCTGTTTGAGTTTGCGGGGGATTCCTCTGTGGTAAGAGGAGTATCTAATTGCTCCACTCCTCTCAGAGTCGAGCTTGGCTTTCGCTTCAGGCCTTGGGAAGACACCGAAATTCGCTTCGAGTGACCATACTCCTGGCTATAGTTCGAGTCCATGGCTCCACAGTTGCATCAAAGTAGAACTTCTGCCAGAGGACAACACCAACTCTACTTCTCCGATTCCCCTCAGGTATTCAATCGCTCAACGCCAATCCTCCACCACACACGACACCCTCCGAAAACACAAACCCCTACACAATCATTAGCCCCGGAAACCATCCCATCGAAATCCTCCACATTCCAAAACTCGCGACGGCAAAACATAAACTCATGCCAATGCCACCAGTTACTCTCTTCCAAAATGCAAGAGCACACCTTAAATCCCCATCGCAAAAACTACTTCCGAATTACGATAATTACGTATCGTGCTACTCAAGAACCGGCTCCAGAACCAAAAATGAATCCGAGGAGATCAATTCCAAAACACCGACAGCTACGCAGATTCATCCCTCAATCAAAGGCAAGCACTACCTATTGGCGTTTAATCGGTAGGCGCGAGAGCGGCGTTGATGGATCGTCTCCCTCCTCCTGGCTCCGCTTTGCTAGGACTCTGCCTCCGACACGCCATGCCTCGTTCTCAATTCCCCGATTACTTGACTGGTGAGTCCAATTGAATTCTGTGAAAATCGAGTGAGATTTTCACAGCTCAAGCTCAAAGGCTTCATTCGCAATTTGGTTAGTTAAGAACACCTGCATCGATTTTGCAAAACAGGTTCTCAGCTCGTACTCTGACTCGTTTTTACTTCATCGGTCCGTCATCGCAGACTTGGATAGATGCATCAGATTGATTTTTGTGAGCAACCTAATCGCGGGTGACTGATTGTTGGAAGTCCCCGAAATATTGAGATGAGGAGTGCAGGGTTTAGGGTTTAATAAAAAAAAACACACAGACACACACACAGTTATTTATGAATAATTTAGGGTTTAGGGTTTTAAATAAATAAGTAAATAAGTAAATAAATAAAAATACACAAAATTATTTATGAATAATTTAGGATCTAGGGTTTGTTAATTATTCTTGTGCAATAACCTATTAGTACTTTCTGTACTATGTACCAGCTGGGTCCTCACTCCCAAGTATACAGCTCACAGTCAACTGCCAAGTAGATTCTATTATTCTCAAAAATTCTTGTAATAGTATTCAAGTAAAAGGCTTTGAATTTGACAGATTATATATAAACAAATGTTGTTTTGATTGCATTAATATAGATGGAATATTTTGTTTTATTAGTTTCAATGCAAAATTTGATGAAGTAATGAAGTACTATCTCAAGGGGAATGAGGGATTTGGATGAAGAAGGTTGGGAATGGAGGGAGTAGGGCTGGGAACAAGGAGGTTGAGACGAGGGCCATAATTGATTTTGGTGATGATCCATTTTTCTAATGATGGTAACAATACGATGGGTTGATTTAGTAAAAGGGTGGGTTACTTTAACATTTCTCTTAATTAATAGTAATTGTTTGTTACTTAATCTAAAAATACCAAAAATAATATTTATATGTTTTATGAATGTTGATTAATAAATAGTATCTAATAACAAGAGACAAATCTCTCTTACCAACTTCATTCTTTTGGGCACTATACAACCTATGGCTAATCTTATCTCTTTAACAAGTAATATTTACTAAAAAAATCCATCATATTAAAATATATGAAGATCCTTTGGTTGCTCATTCTTGGAGCTTGTTTTTGGAAAAAATAGAAATAACAAAAGCCAAAGATTTTTCAATAATACATATGGCTTGACAATTAAATAAAATTTAGTATAGTATTGTCTCTCTAAATATGATAGTTAAAACTTAGTTAGTAAAACTTCAAAATAATTTTTTTGCATCACCTTTTGCAAATAACTATGTTTCCAAACAAAATCAAATTAATACAAGCTAAAGCTAATAAACTAAGCATCATAATTTTATTGCATCTAGTTATGCAAAATACAACTCCTTCAAATGTATATTTTAACATAATTTATCCCAAAATAAAAATAAAAATAAAAACAAACAAAAAGACATGAATGTATTGAAAAAATATAATAAATTTTGAAATTTGTTAAAACCACACTCCCCTTTGCCATCTCATGATAAGTTCCATACATCCTCTATTTCTATCTTCTATTTCTAGTCCCATGTCTCCTATTTCTTGTTCTTGTCCCTTGTTTTGGGATTGGGTGGGGGGGGGACATTATATTTTACAACATAATTTATATTAATTTTATTTGTTTATATTCTTTGAGATTACTATAATATAATATTCAATAGTTAAAAACATATAAATTATCAAAATTTATTAGAAATTATTTTTACAAATAGAGTTGGCTCTTTGCTCTCATATTCATCTTACATTTATTTGATTTTAATTTGTAAATAATCCATGTTCTTTCACTTTTTAGTCTACCATTATTAAAATTAAATATCACTATTTTAAAAAATTATATATATTTTTTATTTCAAAAACATAATAAATAATTATATAATAGTATTTCTTCAAATAATCAAAGATAATTATAAAGGAGTTTGAAATGTATATTCCAATCTAACTCCTAGAATAAGAGATGAAGAGAAGGGGGTTGGGAACAAAAAATGGGAGACAAGAAATAGAGATTGGGAACATGGTGGCTTTAACAAAATTAAGATGTGGCATTAAGAAACTCTTTAAATATTATGCTTTATATATTTTACCTTGTATCCTACAACAATTACTTTCATTTCTCATGGAAAGACAGAAAAAAACACTCAACTTACAATTTATACAATATGATCCTTTCAACCTTTATTTTTTTTGTTTTTACACAATAGGATGAAGGATCTAAGCTAAAACAATTAATAATATATTAAATTAATAAAATTAATCATATGTAATAAAGGTTTGTAGGTCAATGGACCAATTGTTCTACTACAAACATAGTGTTTAATATAATATATAACAAAATATATTAATTTAATATATTTTGTTGTATATATATATATATATATATATATATATTTCATTTCAACGAAATACCCAACCCACAATACAATTATGTATTAATTACACAAATAGATATGTATATTTTGTGACCACCTGTTTAATTTTTTTTTCACAAGGTTCGTTTATTTATATTCTCTGTTACTTCTTATTGTTTATTTTTACTGTATTTTTTTTTCTTCTTAAATACTATTTGGAATTATTTTGAATCTCATCATTGTTTTCGATACTTGAATAGATTTAGAAAATAAAAATGGTCTTTAAGAAAAGAAAAGAAAAAACCAAAAAAACAAAAAACCAAAAACAAAATTAGTATGGTGGTGACAAAGAGTTGACACCTAAATTGAAAGTAAAGTATACTCTAGATTCGAATTATTCAATCCAGGATTAATGTTCAAGCAATTCCAGCGTCCACAAATTAAAGCTGCGTTCTCTTTGTACATTAAAAACTCAGCTTATTTCGGAACCCTAACAGAGGTCGGAGTCGAATCTTTAGGGTTTGTTGCAAGGGCACCGCAGACATGGCGGGCAAGTAGACGACGGTCCTGTGTCGGACTCATCGATATCGCTGAATCAGAATTGTGGGTATTGTTTGCCGTTCTTACACTTTCTATAGAACATTGTGGACTTTTCTTATTTGCAGTTGGGAACTCGAGGAAGAGTGGAGAATAGAACTAGAAAAAAGGCTAGAGTTGAGAGGCAAAGGCGATGGTTGGGATGGTACCAGCTGCGAATGCTGAAGGAGGAGCAGGAGCTGGCGCATCCGGGAAGGGCAAGGCCAACGCAACGCAGCAGCCCGATAGCTCCCTCAAGCGGAAACGCGGTTTGTTCAACAAGGATTTGAGGCTGATGATGTATGGTTTCGGCGATGATCCGGACCCGATGCCGGAGACAGTGCTTTTAATGGAGGACATTTTAATTGATTACATTACGGATACTGTGCACAAGTCGCAGAACGTGGCGTCCAGGCGGGGGAAGCTTACGACGGAGGATGTCATGTTCCTTGTTCGGAAGGACTCGCGGAAATTTTCTAGGGTTAAGGAGTTGCTGGCGATGAACGAGGAGCTGAAGAGGGCGCGGAAAGCTTTCGAACTGGACGAGGAGAAAATGGCTACCGAGTTTTAGAGAATTCGTTCAGCAGGATTCTTTCGATTGCATTTTGCGTGTGGCGCCAGCGCAAAAGTGTATAAACATCTTCCGTCTTGCAATCTAGCCAGATCCTGCAGCGCCAAGGTACCAGCATCCATGGAAACTGCTTCTAGGTTGAGGGGTATTCATTCGTGCATTGTGATTTCTGAGAACGGAGAAGAAGTGTATGAACGTGCACAAAGGATTTACCGTGGCGGGCATTCGGCGGGCATTTGTTCATGGTTAGTTTTCCATCCTGGTTTATTGCAATTTATAAATATCCATGTGTCGCAATTTGTGAATCAATAGCCACATTTACATGAATAAAGCTCATTCTTTCTACAAGTCTTTTGCTTTTGTGCTTGCACTGTAAATTGAGCTGCTGTGGATTGCAAAACATATGCGATTTCAGATTGCAAATTTCAATGTTTCTGAAACAATACGCGGTTCCACTCGCAGATTGTTCCAAAACCCGAAGTAGAAGTTGTCAAGGAATGAACTCGATGTGTCAAATCTTTGATTTCGACACGACAACCGAAGAGTTTACGATGGAGAATAAAGTGTGTTTATGATATTTCAACTTATTTTTCTTTCCAGATTGTTCTACGTTTGCTTGTATGGCAGATATAAACAAGTGATTTTTTTTATTGGAAAAGCTTTTTAATTCTTTCTTTTAAATGTAATTTTACTTTTCGATATATGTGTGTAGTTTTAATGAAGTTTTCCAGTATATATATATATATATTGATTTTGCTAATTTATTATGAATATGTAACATTAAAACCATTGTTGGAAATGATGTTTACATTTTTTCTCGTAAAAATCAAAGAATTCTGTAAAAGGAAAATTCTTAGCCTGTCAAATATCCATAAACTGATTTATGTAAATAACTCCGTACTGTGCCACATGTAACAATGAAGTCTTATACTTCAGTTCTGCAACAGTGTTTTCATAAATCTTAAGTCATACGGTATAGTTTAGTTGGATAACTTTAATGTTGCAAGTAGCACTTACATCAGCATTGCTAATTCTTCTGTGCATAAGAATAATAATAATAATAATATGAAAACTAATAGCAACATAACTAAGCCAAGTGATGAATTTCTTTGATAAGTAATAAATATACAGTTTTGGTAAAAAAAGATTTAAAAAACTATTATAAAACTCTTCAGATTCTTAGCATAGGTTTTTAAGTAATACCGTGATCATTCTAATTTACAAACAAAGCAAACATGTTGAACAAGTCTTAATTAAAATTGGACTGGTTGTAGCATTTTAGGGTTGTTGCTTCTTATCAATGGCATTGTCAACAACGTGTATATTGTGTTGGCATTTAGATCTATACAACATGGAAATGATTACAATTGTAAATAATGATTTTATGCTATGATTGATATTGTTGCATGCAATCATATTGAGCAAATATTTTATGTGCATGTAAGTTTTTTCAATTAGCACTTGATAAGAAAGTTTTTACAAATGCTAAATTTTAAATAAATTGTTTAGAATACTTCCCACATAAGTACTTGTTTAAAATGGTGTTTTTCTTATTATCCTCAATTACCATTAGACCATACAAGTATCTAAAATTTTTAGAAATAGATAATTTTATTTTTAACAATTAATAAACATCTTCAATGTTAATTACATTATGTAAAGATATAACTTGAAGTCTACAAAGTTAACATATCCAACTACAACATTAAACTTATATATATATTACAATAGGTAAGAATGTCTTGTATTCAACACAATATAGTATTATGTAATAATTATAATTAAATACAAAATGCTACATTTAATGTAACAACTATTGTAGGAAATTAGAGTAATACACATAACATTATAAATAATATATTAGAACAAGACAATATTTGTGCTAAACCAAAGGGAAAGTTTATAGAAAATAATATATCAAATTAATATAATATTAGAGATATAATTTTTTGTTTATTGTATAAAATACATATGTCAATTAAATTTAAAATTACAACATAATAGCATTACAAAATTTATTGAATTATCTAAAATAAAATATCTACAACACTTAAATATACTAAATACATTATTATTACATTTATATTTTAAAAATAAAAAAATAGAAAATAATTTTAGTTTTTATAAGAATAAAAAATATAAAAATAGTCTCTTTCCATATATATATATATATATATATATATTTATTTATTCCATAATTTATCAAATTTATTCCATAATTTAAATACTTTATTGCAATTATATTTAACTGCAATATTGTAAGTATATGGTATTCAACTTCAAATATAATGCATCTTGTATACATACTTTATAAGTGTCGGATAATAAGCTTATATTAGTGCAATAACAAAAAAAATAAACTTTGTCAAATACTTATAAATTTATGTTTTTTTATAAATAGTATTTAATCAAAATAATTTAGTAGATTATACCAAGTTTTTATTATATACATATATACACATATATATATATATATATATATATATATATATATATATATATATATATATATATATATATATATATATATATATATATATATATATATATATATATATATATATATATATATATATATATATATATATATATATATATATATATATATATATATATATATATATATATATATATATATATATATATATATATATATATATTTATTGCATAATTATTGATAATTCTAATATAATTAGTAGAATTTTTTATATACTAGAAAAAAAATTATTTAAATTTAGTACAAAGTAGACTTTAATGAAGATTTGTTTTTATAACATATATATATATATATATATATATATATATTTCCTTTTATTTTGTTTACCTCTATTGAGATCATTTATTAGACAAGCATTCTAATTGTATATGAAATTCAATTCTAACTTTTTTTTATAAGAACTATTGTCTATATTGCTTGATTTGTTTTGCGTTTGTTCCCACTTAATTTATAATATTGATTTTTTTTAAAATTTTTTATTGTGTGCTTTCTAATAAAAATTATTATTTTAGTAAATTTCTTAGATTTTAAAATTTAAGATGATTAATGCTATATAATAGTAGTAAAAATAATATTAAAAGTGATATAATTTTTGGTAGAAATTGTAAAATTAAAATCAAATGATTCAAATTCTATTAGCCCTTTCATATTATCTAACAATACACAATTTTTTTACAAAGTGGGAGCTAGAATAAGATTTGGAAATACAAATAAAAATTAACAATTTATTTGAAGATCATAAAATAATATGTCGTATGTGACATTCTTTTAATTTTTTGCAATTAAAAGATTAATTAAGGGCTTATTTTTTTTAAAATAAACATAATTCATAATATTAAGTTCATTTTAAAAGTATCTTTTCTCTAATTGCTTGGTTGTTAATCTTATTATCAATAGAATCTAATTCAGGTTTTTATAATTTTAAATTTTATTTTAAATTTGAAATATACAATTTATTTTGAACTTTAAGAAATGAACTAGAAAACGTATTCTCAAAATTATTCACAAGAACCTACAACAAAAAAAATTTCAAACATTCTATTACATAAGAACTAACATAATATAATAGTAAATTCAATATTATAATTTAATATAATGCATTATATTAATAATATAAATTATGTATTTTTTCTCATTTCCTTGTAAAAAAAGAAATGAAAGTAGATTTATTAATATTATTAGTATTATTTTATAAATATCTTTAGAATGTTACAAATGCCACCATAATTTTTGCTATTTATATCATAATCCTCTATTCAGCACATGCCACATATGCCCTAAATCAATGCTAAATAAGAAAGTAATTAGATAAGAAAGTAATTCTTATTTAATATATATATGTATATTAAAATTTTGATTATTTTTTATTAAAAATAAATTTATTTTCTATATAATTTAATAATAATTAAGAAATTCTTTTTTGGAATACAGAAAATCAAATACATATGTTGAGTAGGTTGCAAGTTGTGGTGGCCTTGCAAAAATTGTGGTGGCATTAGTAATACCCTATTTTTACAATAACCAAAATTATCTTATTTTACCAAATTAGCCAACAAAACATTGTGTAATTATAAAATCTAGCTTTTGTAGTGCATGTATTATTGTATTAATAATTCATCTACATGAAATTAATTTTTACAAAGTCTACAATAAAACAATTTGTAGTTTAATGTTAGAACCTGCATTTACAAAATTATGTATATAAAAGTTAGAAACCATCCTTCAAAAACAATAGGTATAAAGTAGTTAAAATTTTGTGACATTAGAAATATAAGAGTATGTAAATAAGTATTTTCCAAATTAGGAGAAGGATTTCAATATTTTTTGGATCTTATGTATCTTCTAAAAGATATATAAACAAGATTTTCTTAAGAGAGAAAATTCTTGTAAATTAAAAAAATAAATATCTAATAATTTAAACATAAAATTAAAATTAAAATAAAACCCAAAGAATGGTCATGTAATTATAGGCGTTTGTGTAATTGTAGAATTTCTCTAAAAAAATGTTGAAGGATACTATTCCTGTAATTATTTCTTGAATTTCACATTATAATATATTTTAGCAATTTTTTTTATTCCACTTGTTCAGTAAATGTAACATGTTATTAGATTTCCATATTCCCTGAATCTATAATAATACCATTTAGTATTATAGTATTGTTAAAAAATATATTGATATAGCCAAAAATGCAAAGTATGTGCAGTGTATTGGTACATTTGATTTATTAGTACATTACAAACAGTCAAAATTTAACATTATCCAGATTGTGTGTGTGGCACATATATTTTATAATTTGATAAAAGTCTCATGTTTATTGAATTGGCAATAAAAAATCAAAATAAAATAATAAAATAATAAAAGTATTCAATTAAATGAAAGGATTGCTTTCTATGCTCAAAAAGATTACAAAAGTTGTTCAAATAATTACTATTGTTGGAATTCTTCACAACCTCACTGCAATTTAGTTATATTCACATAATAAATGATTAAGTTGTTTACCTTGTTAACTATGTTTTTGTTACATCTTTAAAGTTTATAAATATAAATATGAAAGACTTAACTAACATATTTGAAAAATAATATATATATATATATATATATATATATATATATATTACAATAATTTTCTTTGAATACCATTATCAAACTTGTTTCAATTTATGATAGCAGATGTATAGTATAAAAAATTGAATTTAATTAAAGGAATGTTAATTTTAATAAAATAAAAATCACCACTTTGTCATAGCAACAAATTTGTAATTGTCTATGTATAAAATATACTATGTTCATAGGTGTTAAATATTGTTTTTTAGCTAGCAAAAACTTCTTTAATAAAACCCAATTATAAAATTACATTTGGAAAATGTGTACAAGAAATTTTCATACATAGACAATTACAAATTTGTAAAATTTAAATTAATATTTAATTGTCTAATTTTACATCAACTATAAAACGGTTTGGAATATATATGAATAATACATCAATATAGCAGCTTTACATACACTCTGTTGACTTTGCTTTTACCAGCCAAACTACATACATGTACTAACATAAAATTATAATTTTCTATGTAATTCATTAGAATAAAACATAATTAGAGAGATCTTTGTTCCAACTCTTCACAAAATATTTATAAACATCAAATAGAAATTCCTAGACTTTAAGGTGTTATACAAGAATTTTATGAAATAGCAATACACTTTCTATATAAAAAAATTTAATATACGATGGTTATATTAAAGAAATTACAATAAGGATTTGTCTTGTATTACTAACAATACAAAGATTTTGTAGTTTAAAATACCTTTATTGGCAATAAAACAACAATGATTTGAGGTTTACATTAATTGTGTGTAATCTAACAAATTATCTATAAGAACAATGTAAAGGTGGCACATTGAAAGTGGCTTTTGTTAATTTGACATTAAAAAAATATAAAATTTTGCAATTTATAACAATCTCAGTTTAGATAAAGATCAAGGTCACTAAACAGAAAAAGAAAAAGAAATAGAAAAAATCATATTTCAATTAGTAATAAAAAATTAAAATTAAAAAAAAATGTAAAAAAATGTCCACATAAAAATAGATAAGACATTTGTTTTCACAAAATATGTGATCAAGATGATTGGTTACAAGAGCATTCAGGCCAAAGAGAAAAAAAGACAAAAAGAAATGCAAAAAGAAAGAAAAATAGATATAAGATACCAAAGAATAGTACCATAAGTGTAGCATAAATATTGCAAGTAGTGCAAGATAGCCATGTAATACAACTGCAGCTATTCCTGCCTTATGCTACAATTAGGACTTTATTTTGATAGCCTAGGACTTTATAATAACAATGCCAGCATTAGAAACCTCACAAAATGAATCATAAAATAAAATAAGACATAGTTACGGCCGTTCTTAATTTGAACTACAATCAAGGCCTTATTAAGATTGCTTTGTTTCATAACAACAATATATATACCAACAAAAATTAGTTTTGAAAAGTGAAACAAACAAGCAAAGTAGAAAAAAATCACCTTGCAAAGTTTTATTTAACCTAAGATAACAAAAACAAACATATGTTTGTTTTGGCAATTTTTTTATTTTTTATTTTTGTATATATATATATATATATTTGAACATAAATAAAAGAAGATAATTTTAAAGACGTTTTAGATCTACAATTGATGTTATTATTACATATAGATCAAAACCTATATTTTACCTTCTCTATTTATACAAATCATTATATATTCTAATATTTTCAATGATGGTATTCTTATTGGTTTTTCAAATTTTTATTCATCTTCATTCATTCATCTTTCTACTTTAATGGCTTTTACTTTAAGTTAAAATTCAAGATATAAAATGTAGTATTTTAAAATAATGATTTTATAAAATTATATGTTTTTTCCATCAAAAGTCAAAATAATTATTTGAAATATCTTTTTTGAAAATAAAATAAACTCTGAAGAAGGTGTAATTTTCTTTTTATAGATTCCACTGAAAACATAAGTTAATTTCATTTTTTTGCTAAATTATTGGTTAATAATGTTTATCAATATATTTTTTAAAACGTCAAAATTTTATTTCTAAAAGCAATTATCATAAGTTACAGGTGGGCCAATGGAATGTATTTGATTTACAATTTGTAATTTTAAGTATAATTTCTTTTCTGTTCCATTTAAATGGAAAATATTGTTATATTCTTGTATATATAAATAAAAAATTCAGTTTTTTCACAAAATATTTTTTGAAAAACACATGGTTCAAAATATTCAAATTCGTATTTCCAAGGATAATATTTTTTCAAACTATTTGAATTAAAAATATTTTTGGCACGGCAGCCCATGTGAGATATCTCCCTTAGAATTCTAACCCAGCTGCCATCCAATGTATGCACAAAATAAATGGAAAACAAAGCCATTCCTGCGTCGACCAAAACGAGCTTTTCGTTTGTCTGAGATGAGAAGGCTACAAAACGATCCAGAAGGGTAGCTATTAGATAATCCATAGGAACTTTGATATTCGGCATATGTCTAAAAGACATCTATGGGTTCAATTCTAAATGCTGAATGTAGCCATTCCAACATGAAAGAAATGCCATGTCATGTCAGACAACTTTCATCCTTTCAAGAGAATATTTACAGTAGTAGCTACAAATATCTAGTATGTACAAATACATTGTAAGAAGAATTGCTTTTAGACATGTTACCTGACTCATGCCACCATGAAACATAATGCACCTACTGGTGTTAGATGGTGTGTGGCAGCAAACGATCGAGCAGATATTTCATCGTTGGAATGCGCCGTAGGAACAACTAGTTGTCCAGGCTGTCGAAACAGCAAGAATACCAGTTGATTGGAGTTACTACCTGCCTTCGGGGCCTCGCAGTGCAGAACATCTGCACCTGCTCGTATAACTGTTCCCAGTCCCCACACAGAAAAAATTCTCAGTTGTCTAAACTAGTTGAAAATTTAATCCTACATAACTGACATGAAATAAACAATAAGCATTTATTTTCACACTGATTCAGAATCTCCTCAGATACGTTGTAAAAACTTTGCGCACATTCTCGGTATTAAAAATGCAAATACAGGTAGTTGTTCAGCCTTTTCTCTACATTTACCAACAATATGTTCCAGCATTTTTGCACAGAAGGAATACGTGCCATGATGTACCTGCTGAACCAATATCCTGTGGTCCTTGATAGTTCACATGAATCCAATGCACACGCTCTTTTCCTTCTCCAATTGCACTTGATGAAACAAGCATGATTGTGTACAAGCTTCCAGGCATCACAAACGCTCCCTCAATTTCAACTTTTGGTTGCTTGGACACATCATTTTCAGACACTTTTGTCCCGTCCAATACTTCCTGCACAAAAGATTTCAAGCAATATTGCTTTGACAAACCTAACTAAAGACAGCACTTGACATTTTCCAGTACGTTTTGAGGCGCTCCACGGGAATGATTTCATACCCTTAGCAACTGAAATTTTCTTCAGGCATCAGTTCTTTAAACAACAAAGAAGCCAAGGTCGAGGACATACCAGATTATCATTGTAAATCAAACGCACAGTAGTTGTAGGTGTAAACCGGTCAATGACTTCCGGAATGATGCCGGTTTGTTCGAGATGACCAACGACTCCTTTAACGAGGTCTGGTGTTGGCACTGCAGAAATTGTATCCGATTGGAGGGTGTCTAACAGGGGATCCACTTCATTCACGCCATTTGTTCCAGCAAAGTCTGTGTTGCTTATATCCTTTTATCCTGAGTGTACGCCACAACCATCAATATCCATTGCTACATATGTGACCACGCTAACAACTGAAAAAAGAACAAAAACTCACCAATTGAAGCGATGCAGATTAATGCATCACTAAGTACGCACCATATAGCGTACATGTGGTAATTAAATTTCAGAGGAAAAACTGTTCTAAAAAACAAAAAGAGAAAAGAAAAAAGAAAGAAACAAAGGCCGCGGCTGATACAAGGACACACTGCAATTCCATTCGTGCTCGAAGTCATTATGAAGCCTCAAGTGGTGAAGTTCGAACCCTCCAATTTCAGTGATTGTACCAAGTTAGACCAAAATGTCTGCGAACTAAGATCCCATAACAAATTTAGACAAATCATGGCTACCGAGCCAATAGAAACTAACCTGTAGTAACTATGTCACCAGATAGAAATCCATTGCCCAGCACCGGAGGTCCTCCAGGTTGATCCTCGCCCTCAACTTCTGCAATCCTTTCAGCGACTAGGGCTGTCTCGATAGTTACGTTCCCAACAGTTGCATTGGCAGTAGCTCTTGAATCTTTCGTTAATTCATAATTGCCACCATTCGGATAACCGGCTGCGAAATATGGAGATTCCTCTTCATTAAGAAACGCATTACCGTGCAAAAGTTCGCGAGAGTCCTCCCGGTACACAGGATCATTCGAGGGCTCTCTCATGAGGACATTGTCAGCTTCCACGGAGAGAAGCGCATCCGACCCATACCGAGCAATTCCAGCTGCCATTGCTGTACAAACAGTGCCGCAAAAAACAACAAATCAAAAAAAAAAAAAATCAAAAACGTTCCTCCACTCTGCTCAATTGAACATCAAAATGGATCTCACTCAACCAAGTTCCACCCACAGCCACAAACGTCTTCAAGCTCATGCAATCGCAACTTCTTCGAATCCTGTGCAAGTAATAGCTGAGAACAAACTATAATCAACGTGTCGCAGAAACCGACTTACTAAGCAGCAGCAGCAGCAGCACGGACACATACATTCAAACCCTCAGCTGCAGGTACCAACACGTCGAACGTCGAAAATGGACCATCGAAGGGCAGCTGCCGCTCCGAGAAACCCCCACGCAAGCAAGCATTGTCTGCATTACTGAATCAACGACACCGCACAACAATTGTGCGGCGGTCTGTATCAAATCCAAGTATCTTGTGGGCGATCGCCGCCACGAATATAATGTTTCCGGATCGGCAAGTGGCGAGCTGAAACCGATTTTTGAATCTGTGTTGAGGAGGTCCGAGAGCGTGTATGCATGAAATTTCAAAGCTTCTGAAATATGATACATACATACATACATGCATTCACACCGTATTTCATCTCCAGTTCTGAAAGCACTGTACATGTACATATGGTAGATGCACTAGAAGTAACTGGTCGCGTGTATTGTAATGGAAGTCGTTACCCAGACAACATGAGCACACTTACCAACCTATATTATTATTAAGACTATTACCACCTCATAGTAAAGTGACACGTGGAAAATCTGACTAGAGCCTCCTTTGAGATATTCATTAAAGCCTTTCGTTTCCAGATTTTGTTGCTCAATGCCACGTCATCAATGAGATAAACGACAGTAGGCCACACCCAATTAATAAAGCCGGGATGACGTGGAAAATACCCATTATTTAATAAAAAGAAGTCAGCGAGCAAGAAAGTTATTCCATATAGGGAAATATATATATATATATATATATATATGCACACTCATGTACTATAAGATTAGAATGAGTTGTATTTTTTTAATATAAGAACTGTGATCAATAGGGTTATTTGCAATTATATTTGAATAAAAACCCTCCTCATTCAAAATGAAACATCAAATTCCATTAACACATGACTTATTCTTTGTCAAAAGAAACTAAACCACACATATCCCTTTCAAATTCTTAAATATTTCATCAATGGTCACTTTATCCACATCTTCAGAAATTGGCGTTCATGAATCAGACAGCAGGTAGTCAGCGTAACTAATAACCAATATTAAAGTACTGACTTTAAATGACTTAAATAGTATTACGTTACAGACAATCAAACCCATACTATTTTTGTGTACCGTTTGTGTGTTTGTGTGTGTGTGTTTGTTTGTTTATATGTTTTGTGTTTATACTGTTTGCGCGTGTGTATGTTTGTCTCTAAAAACAGGCACAGATTCACGCAAACTAATGCGCATATTTCATTGAATCCCAAGCACCACCACATATACAATATCCAACCTCATGGATAGAAGACACGGATTCTCAATATAATTCCACCCTTAACCGCATCTTGCCTTAACATAACAAAAAATAAAAAAATAATAAAAAAAAAACACACACACACACACAGATATGAAACAAAGCATCACGTTCCACCGTCGTGTTGATAGGTTCGGCGATTTCTCGGGAAGATTGAGTTGGGTTGACAGCAGATGAATGTTACGACAACGAAGCCAGGTCCAGCACTTGAAAGAAAAGCTGCAGATCCTGGAGTCATATGTGTAGCGACGCATACAAGTGTGGACGGAGTGAAGGAATCGATTCGCTGTGATTCGGAGCACACTACGTTCCAAGCCAGATTTGACTTCGTCGCTGGACCACATCGACATCAACAAATGAAAACTTCGGCGTCAGCGTGATGTTCGGCGTAAGGTACTTCGAGTAATATATCCTGGAATTGGACGAGATTCCTCGGGTACTGCTATATCTATTCGCCATGTGCAAATAGTACCGCAAAGTTCGTGTGTCCGGTGTCACCAATCACTTTTTTCCGGAGGTGGCCCTGGTACTGATTGATGGTGGCTCCTTTTCTACGCTGTGCAATTGGTATTCCGAAGCCTAAATGCTAGAAGTCATTGTGAACGGTACCATTGGTTGAACCCAGTAGCCGTCTTGCTAGTATCTCCAAATCTTTATGCTAGGTCCAAAGCATGTTGAGCTTTGCGCGTGATCTGCAAATCTGGGTGTCTATCATTCCCTCGAATATCTCGTTGAATCCCATTAGTGTGAGTGGTGGTAGGTGTAAAGGACTAATATTACGATCCTAGGGTTGTTTTCGTGCTTTTGTGCTGTTTTTGCGGGTAGCTCCGAGGGGAACAACATGTCAGAACAACAACAACAACATGAGTCAGGTTCCGATTCCCCTGCTTCCGAGGGGGTTGCGGCTCACTCCAATTCCATGGCTTCCAAGGAGGTGATGCCAGATTCCAACTCCTTTACTTCCGAGGAGGTGAAGCCAGGTTCGACAGATTATCTGGCATTTTTATCATCTTGATCGCTATTTCTTTTCAAATCCATTACATGAACATTCACTGCATAGGGCTAAACTATACAGTCCGCGGATCGTGAGAAATGTGCGATGGAGAGGGATTTAAGTTCGGGACCATGTCAATACCAATGTACACCAACACACAAAAATCTCTAGCCTTTTGATTGTAACGCATCTAAGAATAACAATCTCGATTTCAATTTCGCCAGGGGATTCTGCTAACGCTGAAACTTACTCTCTTCCATCAAGCGAAGTTTCACCACAAGACAAGAGTGAAGAATCTACTCAACCGTCGAAGGAGAGATGGAGCGGCGGCGTGCACCTTACCCTCGACTGCAACGTCGATGCAGCATGGAGTTTGCAGTCCGACTTCCTGGGTCTTGTTAAATGGGTCCCCACGATCAGTATATGCTCGCACGAAGCTGGACCATACAATGACGTCGGCTGTGTGCGCTACTGCAAAGGGTCAGGCACCACCTGGGTATACGAAAGATTGCTAGAAATGGACCATGCACAGAAGTACATGTCTTATATTATGGAAAAGAACCAGTTCGTGTTCCGCGACGGCTTCCAAGACTATATCGCCAAAGTCCAAGTAAGTTGTCTCTCAAAGCCCAACCATTCCCTCAAAACAACACTGATATGCCTCTATCTGTTTAGCAACTAACTGCATCCCAAGTACTCATCTACACACGTTCTCGCAGCTGGGAGATGCAGGTGAGGGCAAGACCTGGGTAAAATGGACCTACGAAGTTGATCCTGTGGCGACACAAACCCTCGAAAGTCTGACCACCTTCATGACCAAGTTCTATACTTCTAACCTCGAGTTTTTGAAAGAAGGAGCGAACAAGACGAAGCCGTCCAGAAGAATTGCCCAACGGATTTGGCAACAAAGCATGTGTTGCAGAGCTAGATCCTTATTCTGAACTTTCTATGCAACTAGACAAATGGTGAGGGCCACCTCTGAAGTCGATATGCCACACATTGGTCCGATATTAGCACTGTTTTCTGAGAAAAGCAGGTGTGAGAATGTGCGACCCAGTTCTTCGAGACCATCGCCTCAGATTTTTATGGATCTCTGGTCGACATACTGGTGGATGAATCTTCTGTCAACGGGTGGTGAAAAACGATGCTCATTCTCTTGTGGTGATTATACTCTTGTGTCATACTCCAATGATGCGTGGTTCTATGGAATTCCTTCAATCTTTTAGTGAGCATATGAATCAATCTGCTAACCAAGTATCCAACAAAGACTCCCATGTTTTGTTGGATTTTTAGGGTATGTCATCTCAGGTCTTCCAGTGTAGTAGAAAATTTCATGTCAAAATGATCGTATGTTGATTTGGTTGTTTTGTGTTTGTTACAGTATCCGAAAGTTTAGGTGTACTTCTAGGGTATGTCATCTCAGGTCTTCCAGTGAAGTAGAAAATTTAGAAGCCCTTTGTTGGGTGTTAGTTTTGAATTTCAAAGGAATGGATACTAATTGGGAAATGTAATGAAGCTCTTACTTGTTAAAAGGTGATCATTGTTTCTATTTGGTTTCTTGTTTGTCTTTGCACATGTAACAACGTTTGCACACATACATGGTATAAAATGATGTTCATGCAAAATATATGAAGATTTTTACACAAAACACACAACAAAAGGAATCATGGATTCTATTTTTTATTGAATAGAATGTACTTAAAATTTATTTCAGTTTGAAATATCAAAATTTCATGTTTATGAACCATGTACTTAAGCAAAGCATATTGGATTTTTTGATAAATAGTGTTCTAACAAATACTTTAATTTTATTTTTTATATTTTCTAACGAATGTTATTTAATGATTGCTATGTAATTAATAAAATACCCACATGTTTAATGTTAAATGATAATATTAGTGTATTGTTTTAATATTGGTGAATTAAAAAACCATTTGTATGCTACCTTACATAATGTCTATTATCTTGTGAGGTTAATTTTTCATCATCCAACAATCCCATTTTGTTATCATTAAGTGCCATATGTATTTTTTAACATTAATTTAAAATATCTCATTTGGATGTCTTCAAAAGTAGCAAACCGTTTTCTATTTTAATATATATTTATATATATATATATATATATATTAGTCTTATAATATACTAGCAAAAATTTATGCCATTGGGCACAAAAAAGTTGTAAGATTTTCTAGGAGCAATCTCTTCTAGACAAAGAGGCCCAAAAAAAGTTCCTCATTCCTATGTTTCATGCATTCCATTAGTTCCTAAGTTCCTCAAGTTCTCCAAGTACCATTCTTCATGGCCAATGAGAATGCTTCTTTGTCCCTTTGTCTTATACCTAAGCAATTTTATATAATAAACAACATACATAAAATATCAACTATATTTATAAATTAATCAAGTCTGGAAACAAGTCAAAACTTAATGAATTTTTAAAATCTTAATAGCCAAATATATTATTGATTTCGGTTTCTACAGTAACTTTTGATTATTTATGAAATCAGAATAATTAGAGAAGAATCCAACAAAAGTTCCATAAACCACTCTAAACCCAAATGGTTATGAAGGCCCAGTATGTAAATTCCATTTTATTAACTTGTCCTCTTCAGAAGACATGAAATCATCATAAAAGTTGAAACAGCTTAAAAGCCAAGTAAACAAGAGATTGGAATAGATTAATGCAAAGAGGTTTTCTTCACATGGGCGCATGCAGCCAAGCATATCCAGAGATGGCTGGACAGGCGAGCTTTACACCACTGAGAGCCTTGTTACATTCTTCGGAGGGAGGGAGAATGAGAAACCTCAATGGAACTGCTCAACATGCCAGTGCCAGCACTCATCTTGGAATAGAGCGAAGCAGGCGAGACAAGACTAGAGCTTGTGTGCGTGTTGGATATGTGGTTATGTGTGGGCTTGAGAGGTAGAGATTGCAAAAGCAGGACCCAGAAAGCAGAATGATGAGAAAGATGACAAGACCGTGTCTATTTCTCCTTGCTAATATGGTGGTCCTACACGATCAGTACAAGCCTGACTGGCGTTAAGATGAGAAGAAAATGTAGTTGCATAAGCCAATTTCATTTATGTTTAGATATTATCAGCTAGTCCTCAGTTTGGTGGGAGCTACCAGTTCTCTCATGCCCTGATCTGCCAGCCGAAAAGGACAGCGCTTAACTGGAGCATATCACAAATTTAGTTAAATGGAAAATGGGACCTGGTCAATGTGAATGTCTACCTAACTTACAAAAATACATTCTACGTGGACTCCAAACGCGTCAGGCTGGATTCCCTGGATGGCTCTGACATGAACGAGTGGTGCAGCTGCCGGGGGTCGCCTAGCGCAAGGGGTGACTCTTGTGGGGGATGAGTTTGAAAGACCCTGGGCTAAAACGGTCGCCTTACAGTTCCAAATTCCAGTCTAGGTGCGGGTCCCACGAAGGGCACATCACCACGGGTGGTTAGGAGAATCCCGTAAGTATCTATGAATCATCATGTGGTTCGGCTTATTATCGAGGAGAGCTGTGGTCTCTAGCACTGCCAGCTAAGCGGGGCTGGTCTTGCTCTGCTTTGCGTTGGTTGACGTCAAGTCGTATTACTGACTGCAGTGATTGTAGTGAGGACTTGGTTTTGTAGAACCAGTGAGAACCTGATCCCTCGGTGATATAAGAATCTGGAGGAGGCAAGGGGCAACGAGGAACAGCTCGCATGGCAGTTTGGTGTTGATCCATGTGACGAGAGCTCTACAGATTGCACAAAGCGGAAGAGACTTTAGAGAGTGCTAAGCCAGCTCCAAGTGGCAGTGACTCAGCCACAGGGGGTAGAAGCAAAAGACTCCTCGATCCACACTAGTTACCTTTCAAATCACAAGGACTCCATGTAGCCGTAATCTGAGGAGACTGAAAGTTTTGGGGCTCAAGTGAGGCCAGTTGATGCAGAGACGAAGAGCAGAGCACGTCGATATTCGACTGGTTGTGACATTTATCAAGGACCGCGGTTGTACAATTAGTCATACCCACTGTATAGATGCAGGCGTTGCCTTTCGTGGATAGAGGTTTCGATGCGAGGAGAATGGTCGACCCGACAGAGTTTACGGAACACCTTTGGTAACCTCAGGACTGTGGATTATACAGATTCAATCCTAAAGACATGCTGGAGAGGTTGCTCAATCAATAGGGTGTGTTGTTGAGACTCTTTGGGGCGGAATCAATAGGAGTGAATGTTCTGCATACTCGCAGAAAGTGTAGAAAACAAACCATCGATTCACCACGTTCGTGGCCAGTTCCCAAGGTCATCGGTGAGCTGGTATTCCGATTCAAAGACTACAACCACTTCTATCATTTGCTCAAGCTGGAGCCTCCAAGAGCCTCAAGCCTATCAACTGTGAGAAAACATGACCGGAAGGAGCAAACCCTCCCATGAAGACTAAGTTAGGATTTGTAGCAACCATGAACCCCTGCAACACTACTTCATAAGTAGCAATGGACGGACAAAGTTCACCTCCTCCTTGAGCATCAGAGGAGCTCCTTCAAGCCGTTGCGAATCGCAACTAGCCACAAAAACTGGATGCAACAAAATCAAAACAAGTAGACAAATTCATTGTGAGGCATGAGATTTAATTCACGAAGAGGTTTGGTAGTTTTGGATGTTTTTTTTTAGGGTTTTGTTATATCCACCCATTGTTTTTACTTTTTCCATCTAATCTGCCACCTGGTTTTGCAATCTGCTTAGTAATTCTGTATGATACCGATGTTTATGATTCTCTACAAATCTTAATCACTATAAATAACAAGTGCCAAAGTTTGGAATCCGTAATTTCCTTTGCCCAAGAAACTCATATCTATAATCATCTACAAATTTAAATAGTGTGCAAAAATTGAGGTTTGGTTTGCAAAATTTTCTTAGATATTTGATGTCAATTCTATAGTTTGTTTCTTGTGCAACTCTTGGTGCAAGTCTCAGTTTCCATACAAGTCCTAGACTTCCTCTTCAACTACCTAGTCTTATTGACATTTGCTTTCTATAATGAGAGTATCACTTGTATGCTTCTTGCAACATATTTAATTATAATGCATGTTGAATCCACAATGACCACACTTGTGACTAACTTTCCACAATGATTGGTGCAATTAATTCTCTTTTTATTGTATGTAAAACAAATATCAAAAACTTATCAACCACTAATTTAAGTCACTCATGTTATAGGTCACATATTACTTTTAAAATCTTAGTAATGAAAAGAAGGTTGTATTTATGAATGTCATGCCAACAATGTTAAGTAAAGACATTTGAAACTTTTTTTTTTGGTAGGTGCACTTCAATAGTAGCATTGCTCAAAATCTGCATATTAAATTAATAGACCATCAATCAATAAAGAACAAATCAATGATAAGCTTGTCATTATCAAATTTAGCAATGTGCTTGAATGCCTTCTCACATGTAAGCTTGTCAAATAATGCCTAAATAGGCATCCTTCTAGCCAATAACCTTTGTCAAAAGTTTGTTTAACAATAGTAAATATTACGAGCATTTGCTGCTAGATCTTCATCTTCTAAAACCAAAGATAATGTTTTAAGGAGCAACCTCACCACAAATTAGAGTTTCTATAATAATAGCTTGTTCTTTGGATAGTTGTTGATTGACCAAATATTTAGATGTTGATCTTAAAGGCACGTTGTCGTATGGCGTGATTTGCTATCTGAGAATACACTGGATATCTAGCTCTAGAGAGTGCAACTTAAACCTTTATATGAGTCTTAGCTTAGCCTCCCAAAACTCCTTTATTTTGCATAAAACTCAAAATATAACAGAATCACTTCAATACATATTTTTCCCGCAAAAGGTTTTCTTTTTTTGAACTTTAGAAATTCATAACTCTTGATCTAACCGTTCAATTTGTCAAAAATTTATAGGATAGGTAGAATTCACTCTTAAGTTTTATCACACAAAAAACCAACTACAAATTCACTTCCGATCTTTTGAAATCTAAGAAACCCTAGCAGACGCTCTAAACCCTAATTTACAAGTACCTGAGCACTATTTTATTAATATCTTAAGAACCCAATACTCAAATGTCATAAAACTCATGCACAAAGTTTACTAGCATGAAATTACACATTTCCTGAAATTTTGAGCCAAAACCTGGTCAAATTGCTGAAGCTATAGGCCAAGACACAACTACTAGTAAATCGGGTCACTTACTACCCTTAGATTGCATGCATTGACTTCACAATCCAATTACTCCTTCTTTTTAACTTGTAATCCAGTAAGTAGTATGTGAAAAGTGTAGCCGCAAAAGTGCTCTCTCCAGTCGCGATTGCCAATCCTCAATTGCTATTTGTACGCGTGAGTTATGACAAAAAGAGGGACAGTAGCTTCCAAATCAACACCTTAACTTTGAGCGCCTATATCTCCTTCATATAAACTCCAAACCATACAAAACTTGCACCAAAACCATAGCCAAAAACCTAAACTTGCTGACCCTAGCCTTCAAAGCTCGAATGCCTCCAAAAACCTAACCCTAATCCCTAATATGGCCTTGGGCAGCCTCCTCAA